GAACCTTTAGTATCACTAAATCCAATGAGACAGAAAGCTCCAGATTAGTTAGTTACAATCTATTTACTTTGCACAGGAACAAAGAAACTGCCATACCCGATCAGACCATTTAAGCAGAACCCTACCACTTGCAATAACTAAGAGTGATCAAAATCAGACATGGGAGAGGGTGACCCTCTTCCAAAAGTACTCCCAAGCCACAGAGCACAGAAGAGGTAGAAAGACAATCTTCTCTCACCACAGTATCCGCTCAAACTGGAAGCAGAAAATTTGGTAGCTTATTTACACAGATGACTACAAACATCAAGCATTAGAGACTTGGACAAAATACATAATTATATTTTACCTTATCTGGGAATAGCCAGGATCAATAATAAGATACTTTTTTTTTTGTTTTACCTTAGCTACATTCTGAGAAGAACAGAAAAAGTTTGCATTTCAATGACAAAGAAATCCTTGGCCATGCTGTGCGATCACTGTAGATGCTCTCCTGTTCTCACTATAACTCCCAATGCTCTGTTAGAAGCATTCATGTCCTCCTTTGAAAGACAAAGGTGCTACAAATTGAAAAACATGGCTGCAACTGATGAGCTTTTATTAGCACACTTGTACATACAGACAAAACTTCAGTTTTACAGTGTGACTTTGGTGCCTCTAGCATGTGTCAAACGGCAACTGCAGAAAAATACACTATAAACATCTACAAGGGGAGTCTTGCAGCTGACTAGTGTATCCAGCACACACCTTTTCAAACACCTAATTTTCATGGAAGTCACAAAGTCCGTGGTTATACCACACAGATGAACTGCACCATTTATTTCCTTTCATTTTTATAAAAACATGATTGCAGCAATATAAACTAATGCTGTACTTGAGGAAGTAATAAGGCATCTACACCAATTTCAGATACAAACATCATTTTAAGGTCTGTATGTTTTAAATGCATATTGTTAAGCTCACAGAGAAGGAAGTGCATTTTATCTCCATGGATTTCCCTTATGCGACAAGAAATCATACTACAGTTATCAATGAATTCACTATTTGGCTCTTGTTATGAACTAAAACAACATACCGACAGTAAACAACATATATGGGATAAAAGATTTGAAGTGTTTTATCATGTTGAAGCTGCAATTCCTAGGAAAACAGCTCCCTTCTTCTCTTGCAGTGATATAAGATAGCTTAGACCCTTCACTGCTTTTAGTGAAAATATTCACTCTACTGCCTGACATGCAGAATGCTTGGGAGCTGGAAGGAAAAAGGTAATATTTACATCTATAATGCAACAGCAGTCAGTTTCCCTTCTCAGGTTCATTTTGAGACTCAAGAAGTTCTTCCAGCATAAACAGAAATAGAGAATCTATTTAAAAGGAAGTAACTGTAATACCAAAGAGTCTGATAGGGGGACTTTGGAGCAAGCATAATATCTTCTAACTAATAGTAGATCCTTATAGGAAAGTACAACTAACTGCATTCAAAGCCTGCCTGATAATACATTCTTTAAATTATGCCTTTAAGTTTGCGTCTTAATAAATATCTGGGCAACAGCTGCCCAGGCAAATTTAATGTGTATTACTCACATATTTATATGTGAGTAATACACATTTAATATATAAATATACAATATTTATATGTTACTCACATATAAATTCGGCTCTCTCCTCCAGCTGAAAAAAGTCAATATTAAAATGAGGACAGATAGATGTTTTGAATTTTTTAAGCAGCTTGATAAAGTACTACTTGGTCTAATATCTGTTTACTGGTAATACAGCACACAGAATTACTGAGATAGTCTACCCATAAATGAGCATTTATGGGTATTTCTGAAGGACAATCATTGTTAAAATTGTCATGTATTTTCAACTGCCCTTATAATAAACTCAAAGCAGACTCACTGAAATACTTAAGAGAAAAGCTTTTGGCATTCAGTGTTTTCTAGGATTTGTTAACATTCCTAGTCAAATAGCACAAAGCGCTTACAAGTATTTTAACGTGTATACACTCTCAACACACTGACTTGGCAAAATGCAGGTACCTAAAAGTAAGCAAAATTGCCCATGTGAAAAGGAAAAAAATTCCACAGCTGCTTTGTCATTGCTGCTGTGGGACCAACCAGCCAGGATGGACGCAGTGTTTCACCACTGATGCGACATACATTGACCTTCCTGCACCTCCAACGTTGAGCCTGACTCCCACTTGCTATCACCATGAGACTCAGCCTCTTCAAACATATTCTGATATTCTTTTTTTTTTTTCTTGAAAGCCATGAAACTTGATACATTATTAATGCATTACAATATGCAGTACATTACAATATCATGACTTTATAAAAACAAGGATGGTGCTAAGAGTTTATAAAAAGACAAGGCACTCACTAAAACGTGTACATCATTACCGTTCTGCAAAACATTTACAATTTCCTGCTAATCCTTCTGTAAGTACAGAGCCATTTCTTATCTGCACAACCACACCACAACAAGTATTTTACACTGCCCTAGGAACAGGCCAAAATCCATCTGAATTGCTGAGAATACATATAAACAGGACATTGGTCTAGAAAACTGTTCTTATTACAGTACTCCTGTGGTAATTCAACCTTTAAAAAAATACTCCTGAGGTTTGACTGACAGAAGACACAACTAAAAGAACACACAAACCATACGTCCAAACAGGAATTATATTTTTATGAGGTTTAAGTGATGAGCCAAACTTTAAGGCATCATTAAAATAGGTCCCTGGATGTTAATACTAAGTTCTTAAACTACAGAGTACACACCAGATAAAACCTTACAAGAGATCCAGGTGAAATTGTCATCTTCACATCAAAATTACCTGGTCATACTGCAGTGTCTACACACACGAACACCACTAAGACCCAGCGAGTACACGTTAAAGCTGAAATGTGTACTAAAGTACTTAAACTGCTTCACTGTGGGCTTAAGTTCGTTTCAACATGAATAGCTGCATACAAGTTAAACAGGCAAAATAGTGGCAGATCACAAGAAAGTGGACTTATCAATTAATACATATAGAAGGCAAATATAGGCTGCAAACACCAGGGCACTGAACACAACCACTGCAATTTTTCACCTGGACTAAGCCACGACAAAATTACTTTCTCCTAGAAAAACAGCGAGAATATTTATGCTTCAAAGTCTTCTAACTAAAAGAAATCAGTTCCGCAATATCGCGAAGCTGGAAACTAGAATCTGACTTCGGAGAAGTCGGGGGGAGGGGGGAAGGGGAAAATGAAGACATAATAAAGTCGATTACTCAGTTTTGCAGCAAAGTGCTCGGGCAGCGCCCGGGGAGCCCGCAGA